ACAAAGTAGAGCTTATTTTTTTAAACTAGGTCTTGTGAGTTTGTTTTAAGTCATAAAGAGCTTTCTTAATTTTACAAACCATTTTGGAAGATCCTTGAGAGAAACTTAGAGGTTGTAGCATATATACTTCCTCGTTCAAATCACCATTTAAAAGCATTATTGAAGTCAAATTGTCTTATTGGCAACTACTTAGACATAGTTTTTGTTAAAACAGTTCTTATTATGCTTGGTTTTATCACCGGACTAAATGTTTCCTTGAAGTGAAAACCTTTTGGAACAAGTATAGCTTTGTATTTATTTATGTTACCATTAGGATTGTATTTAAGTTTAAAGATCCACTTACAATCTATTGTGCTCCTATTTGCTGGAAGTGTCTCCAAAGACTAAGTGTTATTTTTCAATAGAGCCTAATACTCATGGATAACGATGTCAAATTGGTATAAAAACAACTAAGTTTCCCTAAATTTTACAATATAGAATTCAACCTTGGTCGATTTACAAAGATAAATCAATTTTTTTTTACTCTAGTTTTGTTCATTGAAATACAAATTACATAAGTTATTGCTTGGGAATTTCTTTATCAAATTAAGGAAAACGCAAAAGTATCTAACAAAATATGAAAACATCGATTCACAAATCCGCATAAACATGCATTACGAATTATCATAGTAGCTTAAGATTCAAATATGAAATTGAATAAAAATCAGTGTAACTATACAATTCAATCGAATAATAAAATCAAATTGATCTACAAATTAAATCAAAATATCATCCAACTAATATGTTAAAATGCATCAAATTAAGCTATCAATTGATTACCTAATTCAATGTCTAACTCACATAAGTGTAGATCATAATTATGATTAACAGATCTAGAATTAAAAAGAGAAGAATATAATCAAATTTGATGATTGTGAAATAGAACTCAAACTGTAATTTTCATGATCCTTAAAACTGTGAAACAATTCAGGAGTTTAGGCTTCCATGGCAGTAGAATTCAGAATGACAAAAAAAAAGTAGAATGAAAATTCAGAGAAAAGTATAAGAAAAAAGATTAAAAAGATGAAAAGTCTAGGGTTGAACCTTGAAATTTGCTCTTAAAGCTCTCTCTATCCCTCTAAGAATGTGAAAAAGAAAAGAAAAGAAAAGACCTTAAAAATATGAGTTTTAGACTATTTATAACTTTCTTGCACTTTTAGCGTAGCTACTTTTAGTGCTGAAAGTGTTTATGCGCAACTCTTTTCTCCAAGACAGCTCCTAGAACTTCCATTTTTGACATTGAGAGTGTTTACACGCAACTCTTTAGTGGTAATATTTTTTAAGATACTACCCATATATTTTTTCTCTTATTCTTTCGCAATGCAATTATGACATCAATGTCTACAATGATAAAATCTATCGCTTGTTTTTGATTTATTAAAAAATATTTAAATAAGTATAGATAGCAGTGTCCTACATAATCTTTTGAGTGGCATGACAGGAATAGAATAGAATGAAAAGATTTTTTAAACACAATCATCCTAATTAGAAAGTCTCCTATCTAGAATAAAATGATTTGTTTAAAAATAAAATTTTATCAAGAGAATGTTTCTACAATTTCTAATTCTAATAGAAATATTTAAGTAAATATTTAGCTATAAACTACAATATTGGTGAAATTAGACTCTATCAAGTCAACAAAGTGCTTTTATCATTTTCTAATGTCCTAAGATTCTCATAATTTAATAACGTCATTTAAGCCTATTTGTATGGCTGTTAATAGCCATTGATTTATCATAACTTTGTCCATAACTAAATTCTTCTCTTTTGACATGCTTTTGTAAATTTTGGTACCTTATTAATAAAATATATATTATTGCTGATAAAAAATAAATTGCAAGTTCAAAGCACCACATTGTTAGCCTATTTATCATGACTTCTCTCTCTTTAAGAGTTGTATTTCACCTTGAATACTTCCAATATCATTTTTCCTTGTTCGTTGTCACATGCGGAGTTATGCTTATTGAAATGAAATTAATTTTGTTTTTTTCTCTTTCCTTCAAAAAGTTGAAGCCAAGACTCTTAAGAACAACCATGGAAGTCCAAGGACCTCAATGATTAACGTAGCAACCTTTTAGGAAATTGAGGCATGGGTGTTTAGATCTTTATAAATTTTTAAGAATGAAGGATGAGGTAATTATGAAAAAGATGATAGTTCTAGTTGGTAAACTTTGTATGTAAACAATTTACATAAAATAAATAAATAAATAAATTTTTATTAAAAATTATTATGATAATGCATTGATAATATTTTTTATAAATTTTTTGTTATAAATTTATTAACTAATATTTCAAGAGCACTAATTATTATTTGACAAACTAAAAATTAAAAGGATAAAGTATAAACACACTTGGAGAATTAAAATTTAAGGGAACGTAAATACAACAGTTCCAACCTTCAAGAAATGTGATTCATTCATGTCAAATTACATTTTATCTCTTTGTTCATCCGACTAAATTACACTATTCATCTAAGTGCAGTTACTTTTTTGTCCTTTTCTAACCATTAATTTCTTCCGATTAATTTATATTATAAACATTTAAAACTATGTTTTGCTCAATCTTTATATAATTGTTTTACTTTTTGTTAATTTTTTTCACATTGACATTTTATTTCAAAAGCCAAGCTTTTTTCCCCTTATACATCACACAAAACTGATGATTTATAACAATTTTTATGATTAAATAAAAAGACTAAGTTTATAATTTAATTTATTTCAAACACACTAATAGTGTAAATAACTTTTTACATTTTCATTTAATCATGGATTGCTTTATCAACAATAGTCATTGAGTTATTTAATAATTAACATAAAAATCTTATTCATTTATATTCTAATTGATTTACAATGTAAAAATCTTTATACTAACACACAGTATATTGCAATTAAATTCTTCAGTTCACATGATTAAAAAAACAATTAATGATATTTTTAACTGTCAAAGAACTTAAGTTATATAACTGTTAAATATATGTTATTTTATAAAATTGTAAACAAACTAATGTCAAAATAAATAAATAAAAAAGAATATGAATTTGACTCCTTAGGTGTCTTTTGTTTTCAATTTGGTGCTTGCAGTAAAATATTGTAATTGAATCTCTCTATATGTGTGAATATTTTTAAAATAAGTCATTGTCATCAAGTTTTCTTCTAATGTGGTAAGTAAAATGCAGATCTAACAAAGATGAGCCGATTTGGCACTGTACACATCTTGATCATAGTTTTTGAGTGGCCTCTCAATCTTTTCTCACCAATTCACCACCACACTTCCCACTAGACATTAAGAACATTTTTGTTATTTTAATTAATTCTTCTTTTGTATTAACTATCCATGTATTAATAACCAATCTCATACATTATTAAAATATCTCCAAGCAATATAATAAACATATTCATTATAAGACTTGAATAATGTTTTTCTCACAAGTTAGCTTTTGAGGATAAATCAAGCATATATTTAATTTTATTTTGTTAAATTTAATTTAAGTTTAAGTATATTAATAAATTTTTATTAAAAAATTATTTATTACATTAAAATATAAAATTAAAAATTAAAAAAAATATTATTTTAAAATATTTAAACTCAATCTCTTAAAAACTAAAATTGGTAAAATTATTTCTAATGTTATATTAAAACTTATAAAATATTAATGTAGAATAACACGTTCAATGTACGAACTTATATCCTAAATATCCATTTCACAAGATACAAAACTAGTTTCAATACATTACAGCCCCAACATAAAATCTATAAGCTAACCATATGTGGTGCAGGTCAACTAAACAGCTTCTAGGGATCATCTTATTCATGTAGTATTTATTATCATATCTTTGAGCACGGTTATTCTCCTTTTTCATTATTTTATTGAGTTCCCAAGATCATGTCTAGTTCCTACTGCTACTCTGCTATAGTGTGAAATTTTCAAACACCATAGACTGCAATTCCGTAGCCTTACTCTGGACTCTCTTGAGTTGTTGACCCATTAATGACACTGCAATTTTTAAATCACAGATGGACCAGTGTGTCTGGTAGAGCGCTAGCAAGGAGTCACGAGCATTCATTTACACACGCACTCACTGCCCTTGCACGAAGCACTAAATTCACTCAGCGTACGCGTGTGGGGATAAAAAGCAAACCCAACACCAACATCAGACCCTTTAATTTGTAGCAGCACGAAAAACAAGTACTACTAGTAGTTTACCCCTTGGGTCCTTTTCTCGTGCATTGGACAAAGCAAATTTATCATGCACTAGCAGAAAATTTGATGCTTTCTCATATTCAAAAGGCTATATTTAAGTTGTGTTTATTTACATTAATCTAATTTAACAATAAGATTTTTAAAATAGAAAGATTATAATAATTTAAACATTTGAAGAACTGATTATAGCAACTCCCAAGATGAGAAAATTACACAGTGATCAGCTAAACTAAAATAAAGTTGATGGACTAAATTAAAAATGAATCAAAACAAAAGCAACCTAACTACCCTTTCTCCCCGTTTCACTTTCTCGACCTCTCCTCAGTCCTCACCTTGCATCTTACCTCTCTGTCCCTCTGTCTGATACTGTGAAACTTCGTTACATGGTTTCTTTCCTATTAAAATTACTTTATTTTGCTTTAGATCCCATACCTCATACCCCATTACACCAAACTTTTCTCTCTATCTCTCTCTCTCTCTCTCTCTCCTCCTTCTTTCTACCTCACACGCTGCCACAACTCACATGCACTCTTCTCTTTTTAAACCACTTCCTAACCCACGCTCACACACACAACAAAGATATCATCCCATTTCCAAACCATTTTCTTAGAGTTCGTCTTCACATAACAGCAATGGAAGTAAGCCTTTGTTTATTTTGTAACTTGTTTAGTTTTCATATTCTTGCTAGGTTGTGCGAACTTTTAAAGTTGAATTTTGTAATTTTTGTTTTATGGGGTTCGTATAAATGTGTGTATAATAGGAATATTACTACAAGAAGAGTCATGTGCCAGCATTTGGGAGCTGGGATTGGAATGAGAACCTTCCTTTCACACAGTGCTTCGAGACGGCGAGGCAAGCTGGTTTGCTACGATGCAGTTGCTCTGAGTCTGAGGACCGTGACCTTTACGTTACAGGGGACTTGTATGAGAATGATGTTGTCACACCCGCCATGATCGTTGTTCCTCGCAGAAAGGTAATTTACAAAATATCCAACAAAATTTATATACAATTTAAGATTACATTAAATTAAGGCATATGCATATTATTATTTTTAAGCAATTATTAATGAATATTTTCAAAATATTAATTAAAGAGTATTAATTATTATTATTAAACAAAGTTGTGCATCATAGTGATGCCTATGGGGTTAGACCATGCGAAGTGAAAATTGAAAGCAACTTTGTCTTTGTTACTGCATTCTCTATTGAGTATGGATGGTTTGTTCATACTTTATGGTGGGCCCTCCCAATTATTCAATGCATCCATTATCAATGCTTAGCGGAGCGCCAGAAATTATTATCTTGTTCTGTGTTTATTTGGTAAACGGTGCTGGTGTTCAATCATGACAAGTGGGGTTTTGCTCATGCTCATTTTCATTATGATTTCATGTGGCAATAAACCAACGAAAGTAGTGAAATTATATTATAATGACATAATTAACTTTGTTAGATTAGAATTTATGTGTGAAAAGACACGTAGCCTAAAACATATGACTTTATGGAAAGCATCAAGATTGTTCTTAATTAAATATTGTTTTGCTGACATTGAAGGCAAAGGTGCGTGAGCAGCATGAAAAAGAAACAAAAATGATGAAGAATTGGGTGAGTGACGTGGAAATCGAACCACCGAGCCCAAATCCACTGCCAAGGCCAACTCCAAAACCTGTTGATGAGGACTTGTACAAGATCTCACCGGGGCTTCTTTATGCTAAGGCTAAAAAGGTCTAACCCCACACACACCTTTACTCTTTTTTTAACCATAAATGTGGGACTTTTGCTTTGATTTTTCTATTATTTTCCAAAATTTCAAGTCTTTGTATCTTTTGATAAAGTCTAGATTACTTTCTAATTTGTGTTTTCTTTCTCATTTTATTGTGTGCAGAAGAGAGGGTTGTGTTTCTTTTCTAGTTGCTTGTTACCAACTTGCATTGCCTGAAAAGCCGGAGAAGAGATGAAGATGGCAATGCGTGTGTACATATACGTGAAATAGAGGAATAGATACTTCAATTGGATGATGCTTAAGTAAATGAAGCATATTTTGGGTCCAAGAAGACCATTATTACAGTGATGATATGAGAGGTCTTCTTGCCAATTTAGAGAGTGGTTTATTCTTTCACTTTTTCCTATTAGTCTTTGGTGTACTTTGAGGCGAGTCATTCTTATGACTGAAACTTGGTTTGAAAAGCTGTGTAAAGAATGAAAACAAAAAAAAAAAAGGTTAGTGAAAGGTTCATATGTCCATATCAGCTAATTCTTACGGATATTCCCTGTTAAAATCTTTTTGTTGACAGAAACGACTCCTAGACGAAATGCTTTGCTTGCTGTCATTATAAATGTTGAGATTATAAATTTTTAATATTTTTAATTTAAAATTAAAAAAAACTAAGAACATGTATCAATTAAAAAAATAAACGTTTTTAATTTAGAGGTGATCCAGCTTTTTTAGTGATATATGCAATATGGAGAAGTAGATAAAAGTTGTTAAACAATGCTTATAGTATGGGAGGGAAAATACCAACTCATCCGTATTGATGTTGAGAAAAATGGTAAATTTTTTTAACGTAAGAATTTTAAAATTTTAAAAAATTACGAGTGTAGTCTAATAACAAGCAGAAAATATTGTTAAGAATTTTTTTTTTACAATATACAAATATTTATTTTAATAACTTCCCGGACTCAATACAGTCACATTTTAAAGTAAATATTTGAAATTTTCACAATACTAGATAAAAGTATAAAATAAATAACAAATTGCTCAAATTGGGTGGGCTTGTGAATAAATCATTATAAAAAATAATTCGTTTACAAATTAACATTAAATTATATTTCTTTATTTTTTAATATATTTTATTTAAAAAGATAACATATTTTAAAGTTATAATGTATGATGATGCTTTTGGTGTCTTTGGACCAAACCAGTGTAACCTATAAAAGTCGTCTATCTCCACAACAATATTCTAGAAATAAAGTTTTCCAGCAGCTCTATGACCCACCTCAAATATAAGGTGTATTTGTTTTATTATCTGTTGTCCAACAAAAATTTTATGTACAATTAAGGATGAAAGTTTTTTTAAAGTTTTATGTAAATTAAAAAGTTAGAGAAATATAGATTGTATTAAATTAAAATTTTCAACACATTTTATTTGTAAATTTCTAGACATATGTGTTGAAGGTAATTTAAATATAGAGTTAGTTAGACTGTTATTATATGATAGTTATTTCTGTTGTAATTATTTTCATTAGAAAGGCACTATATAAGAAGTGCATATGTCTCAAGAGATACAAGTTTTCATTTAATTGTTTTATACTCTTTCTCTCTCAAATTACTCGTGTAAGTATGTGTAAGGAGTGTTATCTCCAATGTGGTATAAGACTTAAGGACCTATGCATAATGTAATTATGGCTTCTGCATATGGCAGTGAAAATTTCGTACATTCTTTGCCAATTGTAGATGGCAAGAATTATGATCAATGGGTTGTAAGAATGGAACCCTTTCTTGGCTTCCAAGAAGTTCTTTAGACTATGAAGGAGGGAATCTCTGCGAGTGAGAAAGAAGAATCTATGATGAAGAAGAATGACTACAAAATGAAGTGTTTTTTCCATCAATGTATGGACTTTATGATCTTTGAAAAAATTTCAAAAGCTGAGACTGCTAAGAAGGCTTGAAACATCTTGTAGAAAGCATATGGGATAGCTGGGAAGACTAAGAAAGTGAAGTTGCAGTAACAATATAAGTTACTGTGTATGAGCAATCAAGAGTTCATTGCAAATTATTTTAATAGAGTGCAACTGATAGTGAATTCGATGAAAACTTGTGGTGAACCTATATTTGATCAGAAAATTGTTGAGAAGATCTTGCAAACATTAACCCCTCGATTTGATTATACATTAGTCGTGATTGAGGAGTCCAAAGATCTCAAAAAAAATGAAGGTAGAAGAGCTGTAAAATTCTCTTGAGGCTCATGAGCAAAGGATAAATAACAGGGCTAGTGCAAGAGAATCGGATCAAATTAAAAAGATTGGAAAAATAAAAAAGGAAAAAGGAAAAGGAAATTGGTCTTCCAATAAAGAAAAAGTCAAGGTTCAAGACAAGCTCAAATCCTCAAATAAAAGAAGAGGAGGGACTATCAATGACAGAAGAGGGAACAAACGACAAGACAAAAAGAAAATTCAATGTTTCAACTATGAGAAGTGGGGTCACTATGCCTTTGAATGTTGGCACAACAAGGGAAAGCAGATCAATAATGATCATGAAAAGGCCAATATAACTTAAGATGAAGATTTTGATGAAAATATCATAATTTTGTAACACCCTTTATTTTTATTCTCTTGTTTTTGAAAAAAAAAAAATAGGAAGTTTAGTGTAGAGTTTCTTGTTCAAGTGAAACAGATATTTTTAGAATTAGACTTTCTAGAGTATTCTCGCTCAAGCGAGAGAATATTATGTCGCCTTAACTGTCCTCTCACATAGGCGAGAAAAAGTCTCAATCAGGCAAGAAGCAACTCGCCCAGGCAAGATGTGGTTCGCCTAGGCGAAAAGTTGCAGAAAAAATAGAGAGTTCTCTGCACATATTCTCGCTCAGGCAAAATAGAGCTCGCTCAAGCAAGAATATTAGAAAAAACCATTATCTGATTTTCTCACTCAATTGAGAATCTGCTCGCTTAAGCGAGAACACATGGGTTTGAAGGGTATTTAAAAGATTCAGCGACGAGCAATTTCATCTCTCACTAAAACCACTTCTCCCTCTCTGTTCTCTCCCTCTCTGTTCCTAGAGAAAGCCTCTTATCACTCAAGATCTCTCTCAAATTTGAGCTTCAATATCTATTCCACTCGAAACCAAGTAAGTCTCTAGAACTCAGTTCTTGAATTTCGTTTTTATTTCTCTATTTTCTCTCTTTGTAATAAGTAGTTTGTCCTACAATATTAGGAAGAACTCTAGTCTTTAGGTAGTATTATCAGATAAGACGAGAAGTTTTCCTTTAGAGCTTACAAAGAAGGCAGTCTTAGGATCTATTTCTATGTAAAAACTTGGTGTGCTTCCCAAAGTAAAATGAAATGACCAAACATGTAGCACTTTGTAGCGTTATTGTATAACATTTCTACCTTTGTATGCTTTAAATAATTAAGGCTTTTATGTACCAATGTTACTTTGGGTCCCATTCAATATAAATTTATTAAATAATACTTTAATCTTTTTATTGAATAATCATTATTATTAAATAATACTTTAATCATTTTCACTTATATTTTTAATGATTTACAATATAGCTGTGTGATCTCCTTTTATCTTATATATTGTTTATTGTAGGATACGTGCATAAACTGCATTATCTTGTATCCTAAATGCTATATTTTTCTGAAAATAATTTTAATCTTAAAATAAACTTTCTTTTATTAAACTTAATTTAATCAACTAATTGCGTAATGTTTTATATAGAACTACATAGTTTCAAGTTTTCCGTTGCACCTGAAGATATATAGGAGTGGAAATCGGACCTATCAAGTCAAAATGATTTTCAAAATAGTTTTCTTTCCTTCCTTTAATATCAATTAGTATTTCTCATATATAAATAAAAGGGTAAAATATATCTATAGCAAAATTTTTGTTTTAGGATTAAATAAATATTTTTAAAATTATAATAAATTTTACACAATTAATTTGAGGTGATTATTTTAAACGAATGTTGTAGGGTACTAATACTTTCTCTATATATGTAACACCTTAAATTTAATTTCAATAAATAAGAAATTTCACAAATTTTTGAAATAATAAAATTTTCATTTTTAATTCAAGTTTCATCAACCATTTCAAATAGAAAAAGAGGTTACAAATTATATCAAACAGTTGCTACAGAACTTATTCAAATACAACAGTTTTCCAAAATAATATCCTAAGTCTTATAGCAGTTCCATTCACCCATTCACTGAGTCCAGTACTGATCGTCTTGATTACCTGAAAAATGAATGTAAGGGTGAGTATCCTACACTACCAAACCACAATCAAGCATAGAGTCTCACCTCTAACTCATTTTCAATACATTTATACAAATGTAAGTACAAGCAGCATTATCACACCCACAAGCACAATACACAAACTCATATATACGCACAACAGCCACACTCACTATAGCACTGTAATCACAGATTTACACCATGAACGCCTTACACAGGTCGCTCAGCAAAAATAGTAGTCAGAGGTCTAGTCAGGAAGAAAGTGTGTGGCTCGTGGTGCACCCGTTCCGCAGTCGGTGTCACCACCACTCTCTCTTCCCCAAGGTATTTCTACCGTCCTCATCTCCCACATCCCCAGTGTATCGATGAACCATTCATAGCATATTACAACGACGCTAATACGCCCAATCACACATATTCCATTCACGCATGCAATAATCATGCTTACACACGGCACACAACACACATTCCATTTCACAGCACACGTTACATAGCCTACAATTATTGTTTATATTACACGGCCCTTGGGCCCACATTTCCATAATATTCATTCAAATACACGGCACAAGTACCCATACTCATTCACAACACTCGGCATACATGCCCTCATTCTATCACACAACATTTACATACAATCCATCAATTTCGGGTCAACACACATAATGTTCACACATCACAGCACTTGACCCACATTACATTTCTTAGCAATTTCCTACCCACTAACTCAGCCACAACATAATATTAAGCAAAACAACAACAATTCATGCACAAAAGAGTAGGATAGAGTCCCCTCTTACCTTGGATTGAAGACCTATACGCTAAATCCACCAAGAAGTGCTTCCCCTCATGAATTTCGTCCTAAACACCTGGAGAAACTCCATGAGAACCCATGGAAACCACAAAAATAGAGAAAAGGGATGAAAAACTGAAACCCTAACCATTAAAACTTACCTCCAAGCGTTCCCCACACGGATTCAACCTTC